GGCGCGCGCCCTCGCTGTCCGCGGACCGCGTCCTCCCGGAGAGCCCCCGCGCGCCGCGAAGCGCGAGGACCCCGCCGAGGGCGGCTGCGAGCCGGGAGCCCCGCTTCCTCCCCTGTGCTTTCTCTGTGCAGACTCGCCGAGCGGTGACGTGGAGCAGCGCGTGGGCATAAGCAATTATCCGTCAGTGCCTGGATTGACGAGCGATTCCGCTCGGCCCCAGCCCCGGGCGCTGGGGTTGGGGCGCCAGAACCTGGTGCTCCTTTCCCTAAACCTTCGGCTTCTGCAGGGCCCGCGCCGTACCCACCGCCGCCCGGTGCATGCCAACATGAACACGCTCCAGTTTGCAAGAGTTTGCATTAATTTATTCAGTTTCATTTGGACTCTTTGTATCTATTTATCCCCTTTATTTCCCCCCTGGTAACGTGTAACATCCATGCTTGTCACGTTTGGGGGAGACGTTGCATTTCTGGGGGTAAAAGGACGAGGAGAGCGCGCGGGAGGAGAAAAGCCACTATGTTGAACTGGCCTCGGTCACGTTAGCGATTGCAGTGGATCCCAAACCAATGAATGTATGCAAAGGGCTGTACATAAATTATTTCTGTCCGTGCCTGGGCTAGTGCTACGTAATGATGTTTTGGTTTTGGATTTTTAACGACAAAATAATCTCTTAATAGGTTGAAATTGAGCACATGAGATTTTATATTTGACAGATAAAGACACAGCATGTATTCTTATGCACTTCATTTCTCTGCTGTGTGGGGAAAGCAATAAATACGAGAATGTTAAACATTATGCAAAATTATACTTTTAAATATTTGCCTGGAAGTGACTGTACCTAGTCTTTTGCAGAACTTTGTAACCTTTTTCTATGCAAACGATTCTACATATGACTAATTAAATGAAGTCCTTTTTGACTATTTTTATATGGGTGAAGTTGCTTTGACGATGGAAAGTTGACGTGGGTTTCCCTTGAGGCTTTCCTTGCTCACAGTGTAAGCCATGGCCCTCTTCACTTCAGAACTCATTTGGCTAATATAATTCACAGTTTATTTGAAAATAGCATTTGCCCACGCTCAAAAATCAACTAAGCGTAAGCAGGTAAGACACTTGAAGACCAGAAGTGAGCAGTTTCCTTCACCTTTTAGTCTTAACCGGGATGCTTAAAAAAGAACATGGAGGCGCTGCACCTGAAGAATGCCAACTATGTAAGACCTTAGGAATGTGTCATGCGTTCCGTAACTCAAAAACATGTAGAGTCCTTGTAAAACATCTCGTGCTTTCCTGATAGCGTATACACTGAGTCCTAGCGGTAAGCCATCTGTACCCCAACAAAACTCCTTTTTGTTTCTGTGGAAATTTTGTGGGCACCACCCCTCCCCTTCTTCCAGGAGTCATGGGCTAAAACGGTGCTCCTGACGCCATGGGACCCATCGTCGTGGGAAGAAGGAAGACTGTTTTTATCTTCTATGTCGACATGCTGGAAGGAAAAAGCAAGAGAGCTTTTACATTATTTCAGTTCTGAAACATTATTTTTCTCTCTGTAAGTGGATTAAAAAGAGGCCACGATTATCTTTTTCCTCTTGTCTATAAGTACTGCGTGTCTTAAAACTTCATAGCAAATAAGATAGGTTTAGTAATATTTGCAGTTCATTTTTTAATAAGATTTGTTAACACTAGGCGCATAATTTCCATTTTAAATTCTAGACGTTGGTTCTATGCCTATTGTAATGTCAGATTGACAGGATTTTTTTTTTCCTGTGCTTGGGATTGAACCCAGGACCTTTACACTGAGCTACATTCTCAGAACTTTTTAGAATTTATTATTATTATTGTGAGACAGAGTCTCACTCAGCCGCTCAGCTGCCCAGCCAGGCTGCACTCAAACTTGGAATCCTCCTGCTTCAGTCTCCCAGAGTGCCAGGATTAGAGAAGGGCATCGTCATGCCCAGCTATTTCCTTTTTCTCTCATGTAAACTTTCCTAGATATCAAGAGCTTTTAAAAGTTTTGGATTATTTTCGTACAAATCCTCTTTCCCTCACTTCTTTTTTTTTTCCTTACATTTTTTCTTCCCAATTGTATAAGGGTTATTTTTCAGTTAAAGGGATTAAGGTATTTGCAAATCAGTGTAACACACAGTTGGTAAGACAGTGTGCCTAAACATGATCCTTGTCAGCATTTTCAGTATTTTCAAGTTAATTTGTACATGATCAGTGCTTCCTATCGTCAGCTTTTAATCCCACCTCATTACTCTATGAACTTGACCACTGAGATTCCTAACTCTGATCCAAGTATTTTGTGAAGTGGCTGACCACCTTGAAGTATGAAAATGTTTGTGCTTGGCACCAAAATGAGGATAGGTTATGCCCTCTAAAATTGTTTTAGGGAAAGAATAATTTTTAAGATTCGAAAAGGAACAATGTTAGAAATATGAGTACCCTTAATCACTAAGAGTGGTGTAGATCCAGCTGGTACTTCATTTCCGCTGAGAAGAGCAGATCGTACCCACTGGGTGACTGCTGTGTGCCCGGCCCTGTGCCGTGTGCTCTTGGTTTTTAGTGGCGTGTAGGAGCTGTGAAAGTTCAGTCCAAAGCCTGGTCGTGACAGGTACAGCTGCTTTCCGAGCTCTTCACAGGACTCCCTGCCCCAAGCCAGACCACCCAGAGCAAGGCAGGGGCTTTCTGGGGACTTCCAGGCGAGGCTTTATTCTCTTCGGGGGATTTTTTTTTTTTTTTTTTTTTGCGATTATAAATATATTTTCTGTCACATTTCAAGAAATCCGAAGGATTTTTAAAATAATGTTTAAACAAAAAAGCCCAAATATTAGCTAGATTGGTGGGTCTCGTTTCTACGTGTGCGTAGGTATTACCAATATTAATATTAAGCCTTTTGAACTCTTTCTTTTATTCAACTTGTTCTTTTTTGCCCGGCCTTAAGTTATCATAAAGTGAAGGGGATCATCTTAGATGATATCATCACAAAACAATATGATTTCAGAATTTCATATTCCCACAAGTCTGAGACTCATCAGTTGTAGGCTATACTGTTGGTTCAGTATCAATTTTTAAGGAAGAAAAAAACACTATGAAATAATTTTACAGACTAATTGTCAAATAACCTAATTATCAGAGTATAAAAATGAAAAATTTTTGAGTACAATGTTATATCTGGAGATGAATACAATTTTGGAAACCCATGGCTAGAGCTGTACACAAGTTGCAATATGACTGCTTCACCTCACCTGTAAAGTATCTCATTAGGGTTGGTGTCCTACTCAAGTCACAGAATCTAGATTAACTTTGTGAGTTTAATCAGCTAAAGGTTCTAGACTGTCTAGTTCTGCTGCGTTTCACTGGAGAGTGGAGCTTGATTTCCTCTTGTAATCCTTTTAAGATCTAAGCAGTGACTGAGGTTGTGAATATTTCAATGACTGCAGCACAGCAGGACAGCCAAGAGGGCACCCGATCAGCGCCATCACCCAGGCTCTAGGGAGGGAGAAGGCTTTGAACTGCAGGGGGCGGACACGGGAGGAAGAAAAGCCCCTGAGCTTTGAAGTGACCAGGGAGAGAAAGAAAGTGGTTTCCTAGGCACAGCAGTGCTTCCCCAGAGGGAAGGAACCCAATCAGGCCGCTGCGGGCATCCATCTGGTCCTCGGCTGTAACTCGGAACCGGCACCCCCGTTTAGACACAGCTGAGAAAGAGACCCAGACGCGGTACCAACTGCCAGGACCGCTGCTGCCGTCTGTGCTAAGCACCTAAACCTGACTCCTCATTTACCCTCGAGACTGCCCTCGGGCACCATGATAGCACCACGTTTACGTATGGGAACGGGAAAGTAAAAGGTGATCCTCCCTCGCCACGCCTAGCAGGTTGCACCGTGACCCCGCCTAGGCTGTTGGAGTCCAGCCAGTGCCGTGGTCCTCCAGGCTTCAGCTTCCGCCGCTGCTGGCTTTTGGTCTCAGAGTGGCTCAGACGCCCTGCCTGGGGTCTCTTGGGACGAGTAAGTACATCTGCCAGTCCCGTCTGCAGGAAACCACCAGCTCACGCTCTGACCTGGGAGAGGCTGGAAAACAGGCCTGCTGCGCTGGATCCATCGCACAACATGAACGCGAGATTCTGTCGCTGGACTTTTACTTTTCCGTTTTCCAGTAGGTGGGCGTGAACCCATCTTGTCACCAGGATTATTCCACAGTCACTCAAGATTGTTGACAGCTTCTTGGGACAAGGGAGGAATTAAGACAAGGTGCAGAGGGAATTGAGTTTGAAAAGAATTAACATCCTCCCATTGACGTGAAAGATTTTTCACTGTTCTTGTTGTTTGGTTGCTTGGGGAAAACGCTGGGTTATTCTGAATGTTTCCACAGTCACGTGATGAAACGTTTCTCCCTTGGCCTGTGGCGCCTGGCTCAGCCGTCCTGGTCAGGTAACCCGGAGTCATGACCTCCGCTTTGAAATGTTTCCTCATAGCAGTTAACAGTTCGTGTGTGTATAGTTTTGCAAGTCTTAGGCCTGGAGTAATTTTTTAGCACTCCTCACCCTCATTATACACTAAACATTCGGCTCCTTGGAGCTCTGTCGTCTCTGTCGGTCTGTGGGGCGAAGGGCTCATTTCATGTGAGGCAGGACACAGGACAAGAGGAAGCACCCTAAGCTTGATGAAGGGACAGAAAGCGGCTGAGTAGCTTTGCCAGATGACGCTGGAGTTTCTTATATCAAATTTGCATTGTAACAGTTTTGCGTTCTTATTTCAGTGAACGCAAAGTCATACTTTCTCATGCGGAAGGAAAAGTATTTGTAAAGAATGACTTGTTCACAACGTTCCACGTGCGTAAGTGTTGGGATCCATCTGCAATCACTCCTACGCTCCTGAAACGCCTGAGGGCCTTCATGGAGTTCACTCCCCTTCCCTGTCTCTGGGATTAGGCCAAGTATTCCTTGCCACGCTGTGAAACTCGGCTCCCTAAATCTCTCTGCACTTCTTCTTTTTTCTCTAGTTACAGAGAAGCTTAAGACTTCTTTTTTTTTTCCACCAAATCAGTATGACTCAGGAGAAGTTTGTGCAGTACAAGTGTGCAGACAGTGTCCTGAGCCAGGAAGTCGGT